GGCACGAGTGTTTATTGATTTATTTTGTTCGTATATTTGTTTGCAGAAACGGCATCAAGAAGGTTATCCAACTTCTTCTTCTGATAAGATCAGTGGACAAAGCGAAAATGGTAGCGGCAGAACACAACATGGATGATGTTGTCAAAGATGTCTGACAAAGACTGGAATCGTTGCATTTCGAACATTTTTTATATCTGGACATTGAAGTGTAGAGTCCTTTTGATGTTAGACCTGTGGTGTAAAACTACTTTCGCGTCGGCCGTTTTTGCTTATAGACCTGTTGAGTCCGTAATGTTTCCGAGTCAGCATGGCTGCAAGGTAACACAACAGACATTTCGGAAGGATTGAATGGATATTTATGAAAGTCTCGCCAATACCAGAATGTGACTGGCAAACATTTCCGTGACTATAAATGCTGCGATGTATAGGATTAATATAGATTTCTCAGTACAATACGCTAAGTAGCAATGTTTTCACGGTGAATTCCATTTGAACCGTTTACACCCTAACATCAGTATGCATAAACTCCATACTGTTCTCTACACATTTCCTAACAAGGAGCTGACAAGGAGAATTCGTTTAACAATCCTAATGGCTGAAAAATGATAATGTAAGGAGAATTTAGATGCTAGCCTCTCTAAGGGTTAAGGGAAGCTGGCGATTCACACGACGTGCATTTTCTCTGGCAAGACACGCAGTCCTTAGAATACCATGCGAACGAATTGAACATCTCATTACGTCGACATTTTTTTCATGACACGTATCAGGCGAACATTTCTTCTTGTATATGTCTTAGGCCAGTTAAGACTAGGTCTTATGTGAATACCCACCACGGTTTCCGATTTATGCGAAGGTAGACGATATTCGGTACCATTCCCCGTCACTAGACATCATTTAATATCACTGGAAATCATTAATTGTCAGTGCGCGTCCTTCCTTGTATCACACATCATTCGCTGACACCAAACATCATCCAACGTCACAAGACATCATTCACCGTCACTGGACAGAATGTAGGCTAGCTATACAGCATTCATCGTCTTTAAAGAGCATTCACTGTGAGTGTAATTTCCCGTAACTACACTGATATACAGTTTGTATATAAAGCTTGTCTTTGTCATCTTATTCTTCTTGCGAGGAAAGCACTGATTATGTCGTGTCGTCTTCTCTCAAGAAGAAAATACATGTTCAGGACACTAAATCTGAATCTCTGAGCTTTCCGGAAAGCAGCGATTACCAATTGTAAGGACCATGCGTGCTGAATCCATGGCTCACTGCCGATACAATATTTTTTTCTTTTTCAGACGAAAATCGCGAAAGTAAAAGGGGAATGTCTGACCTTATTTGTTTTTTTCATCAAATTGCAGTTTGATTGACAAAGTTTGGACAAGAAGCCGTCTGGGAAATGTTTTAAGTCAACAAGCACACTTAACCATAGTCAACTTTTGTTTACTTTCTTCTACTATAGTAAAAGCCCTTAACCATAGAAAAATTCTAAGTGTAACCTTAACTTTGCATTGGGTCAAAAAGCGCCCGCGTTATCTTCGTCTAACCTTTTATTATCACTACAGTAGAGGCCTCGATGGAAAATCCCCCGGCTATTGAAGCAGTACAGGTATAGTTTCCTGCATCATTACTACGTAATCTGTTATGACCAGTCTTTCCTTTGAAATAAAACTCATCCTGGCCGGGAGACGAGCTACTTGTCTGTCCAGCTAATCACTGGGTGCTCGTCTCTAGTTACTTTACAATTCAACTTCAAACTTTTCCCGGAGTATGCTGTTATTCTCGTTGGTAGTTTAATTAGACATTTTTGAAGAGAGAGCACGAACAGCGATGTGTACACTTGGAGGAAATGCGTCTGTGTTATTCTCTTACAACCTACTCTCTCATGTTATTCACGCATACTGAGCTCAATCAGCCAATCACGGACTTCGATATGTGTAACGATAAAATAAAGTTATAAGTCAGGATTGTACACTCAAGAAAGTTGCATATAATACGTAACAAATTTTATTCCTTGTGGTTAATTTATGACTGTGTATTATACGATAACCTGAGACCTACATGCATTTTGATTGGTTCTTGCTTACTATCTACTATCGGACAGACGCAACAGATTTCGTCACCATCAATAAAAATTTTGCTTTTTTTATCATATAAAACATGTAGGATTTCATGTGGCTGAGGGTCTTTACAGAAATAGATCACACTCGGCTGCGTCTCGTGTGTCACTTTCTGCCCTTACGCATTTTGACGTCATTCGTAGGCTATCACTTAACAGACCTGGGGCAACATGAAATCCATTTGTTTAACTTGTTTATTTCACCTCTTGTTCCATTCAGAACCACCTTTTCCTGTTACATTAGCTGTGCTAATTACATTGACGAGGAGTATTTTTAAATTTTATATTTTCACACTATGTGAAAGGGAGGAAAAATGATTTAAAAAAAATAAAAGAAAGTCGGCACTGAAAAACAAAACAAAGCAAACATGCCTAGTGTAAAAGCTCGGACATTCTCGCAGTAGTGAAAAACATGGCAGACTATAGATTTACACCCTTACTAACTCTTTGAAAAAAATTCTGCTTGCGTTTGTAAGAAAAAAAGCCTGAAGAACGATACCTTTTTGAAGTTTTTGCGGTTTTTGCCCTTAGGCGTTCCTTTTTTTTTTTACCGTAGTCTGGTAAAGTGCTAGATAATTTTGTCACCGAAAAAAAAAAAAAAAAACAGAGAGAGCTGTAACTTACAAAAGATAAAAGTGTGATCGCAAATACGTGTATAGTTATTTACATTTACATCTGTAACAGGCATATTCGCAAGCTACCCAGTAAACAGGCCAGACCACATTACAGTCATCCCGTGTATCTGTGTGCTTTTTTTTTTCTTTTTTTGCATGTCGAAACTCTCGACCTCGGAGTGATTGGCGTGGTTTTAATCACTCTCGGGTATTCATCTGAATTAATCCGTCTTCCAGCTTTTCCTTTTTTGGTCTTCTAAATAATTTTGAGAAAAGCAATTAATAACACAGAGGGTATTATCGGATTTACACGCTCTTTTTTTCGAGCGAGAAACTTGAAGTAGCGACAATTCCAACAACAATTAAACAACTTATACGAAACGATGATTTCTCTGTGTATCGTTCGATTGCGCTTTCAGCGGAAGGACCAGTATTAACAGTCATGACTTCAAAACTGGCACTGCAATTCTTGGTGATGTTCCTGACACTCTAGAGGCGCCAAAATGCTGTTCCTTTTATGATCGACTTGTCTAATACGCTTTTACTTTGTAAGAAACACGATTATAGTTCTGAGACATCCGGCTGTATCCTTGAAAGCACGAAAGCTGGATTGCGTGACTATCACCAATCATTGGTAAGGCGATCAACATTGAGCTTTATTTGAGTGTGGAGTCTACAAAGACTACAATTATATATACTTTCGCATATTGAGCATGTTTCATGGACTCTTCATGAATTTCTCAACTGACTCAGCATCGCAGAAATACGAGAAAAATGACGTAAGTTTGTAATTGCAGGAATTAAGATAATAAGTCAATGACGTCATTCGAAACGGAAGTGACGTCACGCTGGAAGTTTTTTAGCAATCACACCTCTGTCACACCACGCTCGAGAATCAAAAGTGTGATAGTGAAGTGCCAAAGTCGGCGATCAGTATCTGCCTTTTGAATCTGAAAGAGGGCAGACTGTTCACAGAGCCTCGTATTTTTCTACAGCAACAAAAGATAAGTTTTCTAATTTGAGTAAAGGTCAGCTTGTTGTTGTTATTACCGGACTGGAGGACCTTTTGCTTGGGAAATTATGGAAATTCTCCGCCAAAACAAACATCTACTCAATTAAACTTTAATGAATTTTATATTCTTGGCTTTTGTTGGTAATAAGTTAAGAGTAGGCCACCCGATGCGTTACCTGCGGTGCGCATGCTGTTTTGTTGAATTCACTTTGCGGGCGCGGTGACCGAGCACTGCAGTTTTTCCATCGTCGTTCGGTCGTGCAATTTAGCATAGAATTTTATAAAACCGAGAAAGTCTGCCCTTCAGGAAAACGCAGCTTTGGGATCTCTTGAAAATTTTACAAGTTGTGGTCGCGATTAATGATCGGTGATGCAGATATTCGATTAGTGCGAGGGATTTGTGGAACGTTTCATCGAGGTTGACCTTGGTCATACCTAAAGGCAAGTTTCAAATCAATTTTTTCTAATCATGACATTTCTTTTTAAGGTTCAGTGATGTAGATCAAATACGACTGAATTTATCTTTAAAAAGAAAGGTTAGAATTGACACGTGTCTTGATATTCTTTTAGCGATAAATTCTGTTTTCTTCTTCATTTGAGCACTTAACAGCAGTAAACTGTTAGTATCGAGCAACCGGATATTCGGAGCGCGTTGTTTCTTGCATGTTAGCGGGGTTTCTCTGCGGATATAGAGCTCGTGATGTAGCTTTACAGACAACTGGAACATAATATAATTTTGCGTGAACTCGCAGAGTCAAAGGATTTGGAGAACAAATACTTAACCATTGATGGAGTTTTAACCTTTTGTCAATATTAACCCACTCTGTTTGTATAGAATAGGGCGAATTTCACTGCTCGGTTCCTTTTGTGTAAAAGATTTTGTATCAAAATAGGAGCCACATCTGATAAAACAAAGCCAGAAAAGATTGCCATTTCTTTAAATACTTCTTTGCTTTTTTCTTTTTCCCGCTGAGAGACCATCGGGGGTCGAATTGTGCGTTGTTTTCTTCTCAATGGAGGGTAGACGTGATTCAATAAATTATACGGCCGGTATTTCGGGACGACATGTAATCGGTGGAGAATATGTACAAGTATGGGCGGGTTAATTTCAAATTAAAATTTGGAAAATTGACGGATGTGTGACTTCATATGCAGGAAGAAAACTGTTTATATACGGAAAGTGATGAATGACAATCTAAACCATTCCCTAATGTATTCATTTTCTCTATTGTGTTTATCTTTTCTATAGAGGTACTGTTTCACATCAGAGGACCGGTAGATCCACGGGATGATAGAAATTGCTCGGAAAATAGAGTTTTAAAGGATCGCAACAACGGCTGAAGCAAGGACTCAAAAGGGCGTTGGAATTTTGGAGAGAAATGTCAACACAAGGAGATTGTTGTCACTGGAGTAAAAAGTATCATTTTCCGCCATATCTCTATGGCTGAGAGGAGAGGTAGCACAACTCGTTATGTTAAACTTCGCATATTCGCCGGTCAGTTGCTCGCCGCTGTCCAGTCCACTGTGATATCGGTTTCGGAGACTGCCACGACAAGGCAAGTATTAAGATTGACTCTCGGACAATTGGAAATAAACGAAAAACCGGAGAATTTCGAGTTGGTCGAGGTTTGCTATCGAGATAGTGTTTTGGACGAGGACAGCGAGAGGGTCCTAAGTGGATCTGACCAACCCTACAAAGTTCAACAGAGTTGGAGAAAGTTGCCTCCAAAAGTCAGAACTTCATATCGACTTTTTATCCGAGAAAAAGTCGACGATAGAGACGAAACGAAACCAGAACTACTCCGACAACATTGGATGGATTGCCACGAAAGCGTAAGGAACTGCCACGAGTTAGACTTCGATCTGGAATCCAAACTTCCTGATGACGATCTCTGTCGTTTGCCAACGTTATCAGAGCAAACTTTGCTCGAACATTTGGAAGAAAGGTTTTCCCAAGGACGTATTTATACTTACGTGGGAGAAATACTCATCGCTGTGAACCCCTTTCGCTTTTTTCCTATGTACAATCCAAAATTTATAAATGCATACAACAACCGGAACTTAGGGTCCCTTCCTCCACATATTTTCGCTATTGGCGATGTAGCTTTTCATCGTATGCTGCGAGAGAAGAAAAGTCAGTGTGTTGTGATTAGTGGCGAAAGTGGATCTGGGAAAACGGAAAGTACTAAGCTTATAGTTCATCATTTGACGGCTTTGGGTCTAAAAACTCAAGCTACGTCAGTGGAGAAGACCATTCTTGGTGTCGGTCCGGTCCTTGAGGTATGTAATCGTCGTGATTGTGTTTTTAGGCTTGATTGCAGCGCTTTAATTTAAAGTTTACATCTTTAACAAGTATACTCAATGATCTATGATATTGTTGTGGTTAGATTGAGTATTTGAAGTGTTCAAGTCGAGTACAAGGCTTTGAGTGAGTTGAGTTAGGAATTATTTATCTGTAAATTAGCTCTACTGATTGAATCAAATTAGTTTGTTGACTTGAAAATGTCCTCGTTTACATCTTTGTTAGTCTCAAGTAGGGCTCATAGAAGTATAAAAATAAATTATTTTATAATTCCTAGAGAAAAAATTGCCTCCAGACATTTATATAGAGAGATAATTTGGTAATTATAAGAAGCCGCAATTCGTTGCTATTTTAATTAAATCAAAAATTACTAATAGCTTATCGCATAATTTTAGCATCTTTACCTGGAGAAAAAAAGTGAAATATCTATCTTTAGTTGCTCTAAAAGTGCACTAGATCTACTCATTCAAGTTTGCTTTGAACTTATCTTAAATGCTATGGTTACAAGGCAGAGGAACAATTGAAATGATAACTTGGAGGCAGGTTTGAAAAAATTACCTCAACATATTGCTGTTGTAGCAAAATTAAAGGCAACATTAGTGGCTTTGGATTACTTTCAACCTGCTGAAAATATCAGTCACAATTCAGAGCTTTGAAACATATCCATATATACCGATGCAATGTTTTAAAAAAGGTTTGAGATTGTCCATGCTAATGATAATTCTGGTTGTCATGGATTTTTTTTGTATGACAAACACATTCAAAGCATTTGCAAAGGATACTTTTTTTCTATATGTTGTGTAGGCTTTATGCTAGAAAAAGGAACTACATTTTTTTAATTTGAAAATCTTGATAGTTCCTCCAAATTTCAATAAATTATTATCTCTCCCAGCATAATGTACAGTTAAATTATTAGATGAAAGGGCAAGAGTTCCATATAACCCCATACATTAATTATGTATAGAGTGTTGCAAAGAAACCTTTATATATTTTGTCTTAATGAAATGAATGCATAATTGATGTATGGGGTTATATGGAACTCTTTCCGATGAAAGCAGTAACTGTTGCATGGCATGAAATCAGTGTTAAACCTAAATAAAAACCAACTGACAGATACCAAAATGTAGATTTGTTTTGAATGGTGGAACACCGTCATTGACCTGCTCCTTAATGGGATTAAATTGCATAGTTATCTTATCAAAAACACATTTTTGAATGAACATATAACTGTTTACATGTTAACCAGTAAGAATACATGTGGCTTCTTTTTGCATATCGAAGGAGAATTCTTATTAGTAGACACCCTTGAGGTGTTTGTCACTGGAGAGGGTCACAAACCAGAATGTTTTTTATCAGTGCCTACCAGTTGGAGAGGTGTATGGAGGGGTGGCTTGTTGGACCTTGTCCAACAAGCAAACAAAAAAAAAAAAGAGGGATTTGTAAAGCATATGTTTAAAATGTATACAGAAATGTAATGGGAAATTTAGGACAAAAGAAGAAACAATGAAATATGGGACAGTATTCAATGCATTATAAAATCATAATATTTTTGATAAGCAGTGATGTAAATTTGATGGATTAAAATATAACTCAGAGGTTCATGGTAGCTTGGAAAAAGGTTGTCTCTAAATTTATTATATTCAGCAAAAGTGCCTACAGCCACTTCTGCAAATTTTCATGTGTAAGAAGGAGGGCAGAGAAAGTATGGTTTTCTGCTTACAAGAGTGTTCATCAAGAGAACTTTTAACCTACCTCTCAAAAATATTTCTGTAATTTAAACAGTTATCTTGTACATTTTTCAATTTCAGGCTTTTGGGAATGCTAGCACTGCATACAACAACAATTCAAGTAGATTTGGTAAATTTACTCAAATCAAGTTCAGGCCTGATGGAGCTGTATGTGGGTATGTCTATTTCTGGGAATCATGTAATAACATATTTGTGGTTCAACCTTGCTTCCTGTTTCAAATTTGTTATTTTAACTGATCTCCTTTGGGTTCAGGGAAAACCCTTCAATTCACAACATTCTGATCAGTAATTCTCTCTTGTAGCTATTATGCCTAACCTAGCATAGTAGTTAAGATAATTTTATTTATTTGTATCTGAAAATAGAGCAGTTTGCAGATGAGTGTCATGAAGGCACAATCAGCAAAAGTACTGGTAATCACAATAGCCAGGAATTATCGAAGTGGAAATAAACTGGTGGAGGGGTAGAAAAATATGGTAACAACCTGTAATGAAGTACATTTCATTTGACCTGTGGAAGAAATCAAGTGAGGTGGACTGCCATTTAAGCAATTGCAAAGAAGAAGCCTGACAAAAATTCAAGCTTTTTGATGGGATAATTCCTCTTAAATTTTTCCTTCTAGGGAAGAGAAGAACCCTCTATAATTTGTTTCACTTTGTGTCTCATCAGTCAATAGTAGCTCCCAACAACCTGGTAGAATGGGCAGGATGTTGGGATTAATATGAGAAAGTTTGTAAATAACGAGCTAGAGGCGAGTGAATTTAAAACTTTTGAGCATTGTCCCAACTTTTCAATGGGTTATTATGCTGCTAAACTGATACAAAGTGCAGTCTGTTGCTTAATTTAGTAGCACTACTTTTTTTGGTTGCAGTGGTACCAAGCCTTTTCTACTCTTTCAGCTTCAATAGATGTGTTCTTCTTAAAAATCACTTGAGTCTATGATTTTTTTTCATTAGAGCTGCTTTGAGGAAGTATTTGTTGGAAAAGTCAAGAATTGTTTCACAAGCTCCAGAGGAGAGGTAAAGTTTTGATTACAGTAAATTCTTTAGTGGATAATTGCATTAAATCAATAATTAACAATAATTAAGATATAACTATAAGACTGTAGGAGCAATTTTTTAGAGCAGGAGCTAAGGCTGTAGAGTATGTTCTAACTTGGTTTGTTTGGATTAGATGATTTGGGAAACTATCTAACTCTATTTTGCTTAACCTTTTAACTCCAAAAAGTGACCAAAATGTATCTTCTCCCTGTAGTATCCATATATTATCCACCAAGCAGGTGATGAAAATACTCAAACCTATCAAATAGAAGTTTTCTTGATTGAACAGCAAATTCTCATAACCAATTTACAAGGAAATGTATAGCAGCTAGAGCAGTGCTCTAAGCTGCAACCATTTTGGTCGCCATGGTGAGTGAAAAGATATTTGGCAACTAAACTTCTGTTTTTCTGGCGACCAACAGATTAAAAGAGAAACTTACTTGAAAAATTATGAACAATAGGACGGATTTAATCAATAGTACAAGCGGTGGCATCACCTGCGTTTCTCTTTTCGCCTCTCATCGTTCAGAAACTTGACTGCATAAAAAAATGGCAAATTCGATCGATTGGAAGGGGCAATTTGCAATGTTGTACCGTCTCACCAGCTTTGTAATGTTGAAATAAATTGTTTTTGCTACTACACAGTCTCTTCCTTTTCTTTCTCTTACGTACAGTAGCAAACCTAAGTGATTTTTTTTCTTTCTCTTACGTACAGT